AACAAGACAAACAGACTTTTTTTTTTTTTTCCTCAACCCAGCCCTTACAGTGGTTGTAATATGATTAACGTGGCTTTGCTTCCATTAAAAAGCAAAGAGAAACTTCCAGCTAGCACACAGATCTATGCATGCAAGTAGCTGTTCCCACTACCACTGATTGTTCCCTTAAACTGCTATTTTGGCCAGAGGGAAAGGGGTATGAAGTGTGCCTACCTGGGTCAAACACCTCGGCAAGCGACCCGGGTTAAGATGGCCTCAGCGATTTCAGAATACAGAAAGAATTAATAGGTGAAGCTAAGAAAAGGCACTGTAGCGCATTCTACCAGTCGAGGTCTGCTATGGTCATAGCACATGCAATTCTCCTTGTATGTCCAGCAGAATTGCCATATTTTAACTATTATATTCCAGCTGAGAAAAACAGTTAAGCAGAGAAAAATGGTCTGACTTGGATGTAATTATGTGCAAACAGTGATTTACAACCTCTAAGTTATACCACCACTAATGCTTTCATGTGTCTGTATAAAATAAGGAAGTTCCAAATGTTTCTTTTTTTACTTTGGTCAGCTTCAGCTCACTTAGCCAGTTTTATGTGCGTCTCCATTACTGGTTTTACGGTACCATATCATCTATTTTTTGGGGCTCCAGGAAATTTCATGAAACTTTTCAAGCTTTGCAGAATCACACTGAATGATAAAACAGTTTTAAGAACTAAGAGACTCAAAGACAGCCTCTTCCCTGAAGCTGTCAGTTCTTCAGTGCTAAAAGTCCAAATTCATTTAAAGAAAAACAAGCTCTTTCTATTGTTCTTTCCTCCCTTCTGCTAATCTAAACTAAATTTCCTCAAGTAAGTTCTTCATGTATGATGGCCCGTATGAGATATTATGATGAAGAGCACAGCCCCGGCCAATCACATTTGGACAAAAGCTTTTATTCCACAAAATAAAAACAAGTGGGGAGGAAGTCATCTATTAATAAACGCCCTGCCACGTATTTGATTGTTTAAGTTTGAGGATGTCACAGAAAATAATTTAACAGGATTAGTCTCATCACACACAAACTTTCTTTAATCTAGCATTCATTTTTAATGATGTATTAGGTAAACGTACCTGCATGGGGATAGGATGCATATCCTCGTCATCATCCTCCGAATCACTGGTCAGTTCTGGCCGGCTGGTGCTTTCTGACACCGGTAGCAGCGGCAGCAGGGCCTGCAGAGCCTGAAGGTAGAGCAGGTGTCCCTCCTCTGACAGTGAGTCTACCAAAACACATGGATCACTACTACACAGTTTGAACTATGCACTAAAACTACAAAAAGCTACAAAAATGAAATGTGTGCAGCTGTATGCATGAAGTTTAAGCAAGCCACCTACTTAAACAATTCTCTCCTGCACAGAGGACAAAGTAGAAGAGCCAGGGAGCCTTGCTTTGTGCTGCTGAGAAAGAGTGGATTGTGACCTGCAGGGAGCTCAGGAAGGCCTCGAACGGAAACAACAGGCGGCGGTCAGAGAGTGCCGGAATGAAAAAGTGAAAAATCTGCTCGGTGAATGGTGCAGAGATGAACTCCTCAGTAAATGCTGCAAATACAAACTGCCTGAAAGGCAACAGGAAAAGATTCCTTTGAATACATTTTAAGAAGCAGTGCAGGTGTTAAAAACAAACAGGAGTTACAATCCTGCTTTTCTGTTGGTGTTCTAGCCTGACAATATTGTCTCTCCAAATAGGACTGCTTTGTGCAGCCTGATCAATAACATCTGGTGAGCTGAAGCAGAGATAATTAAGTGCTGGAATCACTGTGTACATAAGGCCTCTCATTCCTGTCCTGCCTTTCTTTATACGAGAAAAGAAGCTGACATTAGAAATGTCTTAAACAGAGTGTCAACAGGCTGATATTCAGCTCAGGAGCCTGTGGAGACATTTATGACTTATCGTAGGTGGGTCTGTGAAGTAATTACTGCTTCAGGACTAATGGAGAAGAATACACTAACACAAAAGGCGACCAAACAGCAAACCAGTTTATTTGGTTGGAAGAACCCACAGGAAACAACCTGAACCTGCATTTACACTCTTATTTTCCTTTTTGTTCTGCATAGAAACTGAAAGAACTGAAGACCTTGCTTACTTTTAACCCTAAGTTTTAGTAAAACACCCACTTCAGTCATATAAGTGTCACAATAAGCACATTCACCTCAAGGAGAGGCTTTTAAACTAAAAGTGCGAGTTAACTGTTACAATCTCAAGTTTTTTTAAGTTATGAATGTCTCTAACTGAATGGGATTGTGTGAATATCCTGCAGTTAGCTGTTTTGGTTTCTTTTGTTGAAGAAATACAGGTGGACAGCAGAAAATTACAAAGAGCTACACAAGCGTTACAAGAGCTAACTGTAACACAGTGATAACACAGCGATAATTCTTAGAATATTGACTACCTTACAAAGCCTTACATTTGTTGTATTTTAAAAACATGGGGGTATTATGTAGCTGCATTCAGAGCTGGTGTGCTGGTCCACTAGGTCTGCAGGCATCTACCTCTCAGACTCTGCTATTTTGGCTTTCAACATGGGCTTTGTTGATCTGTACATTACTTCTTCTCTACATACAAGTTTATTGTATTTTAACCGTATAAAATATATCATGAGCAAAAAAAAACAAAAAAAAAAACAAAAACAAATACCTATAAAAAGGAAAGGCTGCAAAAACTGTAAACTGCATACCTTGCGCCTGTTGTGCAGGAGGAGTAAGTAAAGTGCAAAGGTTTGAGAATGTGCTCCAACAGTGTGCTTGCCAGAGGGATAGAGGGAGCATCGCTGTACTCCAAACTGGGAGGCAGCCGGTGATTTACAAGACTATACAGCGATTTATAGTATCCTAAAAAATAAAAAAAAAACATGCACAAAGTTAGACTTTATGAAATAATTTACACATTAGGGGGATTCTTTAACTATCGTAGAATTTGTGTCTCAGGCAAACATAAGAAAAGCAAAAACACAAAAAGACAAACTTAGAAAACATTTATAATAGATAAATTACAATTAATATTATATTATATTATATTATATATGGTTTTATACTGAGTGTTTTTGCTATATGTCTTTTGTCCGATAGTCAGGTTTGGAATCTCAGTTCCTTCATAAGACTGAAATTAAATTAGATCTAAAAGTAACTATTGACAAAAGGCACCGATATATTAGTATTTTATTGATTTTTGATAAAAACAACACCTGACCTTTGGGATCATTGTCATTTCCACCACAAATTCTAAATTATAGCTTGCAATCACATCAGTTGTCATGTGACAGGAGACCTCATGCCACAATAGCAGAATTAGCTCCATTTAAAGAAAGGAAACAAGAACAAAAATCAAAGTTCAAGTTTTGAAAAACCAAGAGTAGGTTTATGGTTCGTCATTTGCAAACACCTCATATTTCCTTCAAATGTATAAATAATGAGAAAAATGCCATTTTATATTGTGCGTTTTAAGTACATGTTATGCTAAGTATTTATTTGATTTATTAGGTTTTTTTTTCTTATTTAAATTCCCTATGAATTTAATAAAGCATGTTTGAATTGAATTGTAAAAGAAATGCTACACATTTCCATATTAACTTTCTACATTACATATATTATTCACACATATATATATATTTATGTAATTACAACTCCAATAAGTTGATATTTCTACACCACGTGAAGTAGAACCACCAAAATTTTTCCAAGAAATTGTGTTGGGTTTTCTGAAAAATATCATGACCAAATTTGTCAATAGCTGAAGCGTCACACAGTAAAATAAATTAGAAGGCATCCAAAAGAATTCAATAACCAGATTTTAATTCCTGCACTAAAGGTATTAAAGGTTCACTCTAACATATTATGAAAATTTTTTTTTTTAGTTCAATTTTTTCTTTCCTGCTGCGAAAAGTTTATGCTGCTATAAAGTTGATAATTTTCTTGAATCAGCTGATTAAAAAAACTAAATCAAACTAAAGTCTAAATAGATTAAAAAGAGTAAATGAATAAAAAGTTTAAATTTAGACTCATTACAAATGAGTCTTATTCCAATAAGCACCATCAGACAATGCACAGCTAGCTTACCTTTCTGTACCATATAGTGCAAAATCTGCTCGAGTAATGAAGCTACATTGTTAGCATCTGGAATAACGTGAAGATATGTTCTCTCTGAAGAAAAGATGTCCAACATCCGCATAGGAACAGCAACATTTAAACTGTCATCTGGGCAGTTTAACAGAAGTCTGACAAAGAAAAAAAAACAGGGATAGAGTCAGTCCAGCTTCAGCTTCTTCATAACAACCATCATCCTGTATTTATGTCACAATAATCAGTTTCCATAACCTTACCTACAGCAAAAACCCAGAATCCTTTTGATTTGAAATACACACGTTTGTTTCTGGGGGCTATTTAAAAGCTTCACGAACGGATTGTTGTGTTTCACAAGGTTCTGGCATAACCAAATCTTTATAAACACACAGACAGGCAGACGTCAAATGTAACAGTCAAACAGTCACTGAAGCAATGGCAAAAAAAAAAAAAAAATGCACTGATAACACTGCATCCTTACCAATCTATGTGCATCCACACTCTGTCTGTAGAAAAATATTAGTTGTCTGGACAGGAGGCACAGAGAAGGACCATCCATGATGTGCTGCGTTCCACCTGCCTGTGACTGGCTGACAGACTCATCAAACTTAGCTCTTTGAAGGGCATACTAAAGAAGCAAAGAGAAAGGATATAGAACATACAAAAAAAATAGTTCACAATAAAATAAATTTCTATTAAATGCTGTCGGCAAAACCTGATTCTAAATGTTTTTATATGAAACAAAAAATTTAAGGAAATAATTCAAAGCTGCTTTTCTGTGTTTTTTAGGACATCTTTTATATTAATTCCGTGTGTAGACAGTTAAGCTCTCTATTTATTCTAAACAGGAAAATTAGAAGTCTACCAATTAAATATTCCAACATGACAGGACTTATTTTTCATCACTGTTCAACAATTTGCCTCGGTAGTTCGGATTGTGCAGGAGAATTTAAGAAAACGTGTCCGCTTGTTGTTCTGATAATGAAGATTCATCATTTCCAATTGTAATTTCTGACAGGTTGGTGTTTGTTATTTTCTGTTCCTCTCTGTCACAGATTGTTCCAATCCGTTGCAATATAGGTTTGCTTTTTCCCAATTTTTGCTTTCATTATCACCCATCTTTCTAGAACATATTTATTGTAAATCCAGAAGCATATTATGCAACTGCATTAGCTGTCTGTAGTTAAATACGACAGGTCCTTTTCAATAAAGCAACACAGCAGCTCTGAACTCCTCTAAGGTGAGGGGAGCTTCAAACAGAGTTTGGCAGAGGTTTCAGAAATGTTGAACATTCATTTACATTTTTGAACACCCTGCTATTTTGTAATTTCTCCCACTTCATTGAGGGGTCTGAATGCGTGCATGTCCACTGTGAGAGACATAATCTAAAAAATAAAACCCAGAAATCACAATGTATGATTTTTTTTTAACTATTCAATGGTATGATCCAGCTTCGAGAATCAATGTTAATATTTGGTACAGTAACAGATTCCCTCTGCTCTAGTTTTTACTTGTTTTTTTTCTGCTTGTTAATAAAAAAAATGTTGGTTCATTTTGCACTTTACATCTCTTGTAAAGCAAAAACTAATTCCATCCGTATTTTTTTAACCAGGGCACAACGGACACTGACAACACAAGTAACAATCCCAAGCGCAAACCAAACTTTTATCATGGCTAAGATTGGCCGAGTTAAACTAAATAAATCAATTCACACATCCCATAATTTCACAGGATGACAGTATCACGCTCTCCTCTTTTATTTAAAGGCTACAGACCGAGTTTAGCTCTGCTACTCCGACTGTACGCTGCGCAATCAGCTGTTCCCAATGAGTATCATGCTACACAGTTTACACATCATTTGTCAGACGCTAAAATCTGAGACATGTGCTAGGATGGTTTTTGATGGGTACAGGGTTAATCATTTTGTTACTAAAAGCCTACCCTGTTGGAGCTTAGCCTACCGTGGAGCACAGCCTAAAGCTGTAGCCAAGGGCTCCATGTCTGTGGTGAATGTCATTGCTCACATAGCCAATGTGTTACATGCACTGTAATAATAGACTATAAGACATATCAAAATACCAAAAATTTCCATTTAAGTATCATATACTTTTATACCTTTACTGAATAAAGTTACATCGTGACATTTATATTGAATTATTGTCCGACCACAGGATCTACGAAAAATACGGGTCACAGTGAACTCTACCATACTTAAACCTCTGATCGTGGAATTGCCCTACAAGAGTAATGCAGTAATCTAAAACAAAAGGAAGAAGAGAAGCAGCCGAAGCAGGGTGCAAGCATGTGCACAGAATATTCCTTTAAATCTCACCAAAAACTGTTCAAGAATCTTGTGCAGAAAGTATGCTGAAGACGCTTCCTTGGATTACTTTGTATTTAAATAACTGAACGCAATTGGATTGACGGCGTGAAGGACTACAACACAGACCTCAGCCAGAGTCAAACATATCAAACGCTTTATTAAGGCGTATGCTGCTCACAATTTCAATCTGAGCAGCATGATATGAACAAACACGTGAATAAGTAAAATGTGCTAGTAAAAGAAGAGAAGAAAAAAAAAACTGTTGATTATTAGAAGGACATACCTGCTGCTTTAAGTCTTGGTATCCACGTATGTAGGACTGAATGATGATGGCATTTTTCAGCCTTTTTCTCTCTTCCTGTAGCAACAAAGAAGTAAAGCTTAAAATCAGGAATCAGGAATCAGGATCAGGAATCAGGAATCGGGTTTATTGCCATTGTTAGTGAAGAGGTTCACAACTAGGAAATTTTTGTGGTACAGTCGTGCAACATGAAACATATATGAAATAGTAAATAAAATTATAAAAATCTCTAAAAACACTAGGGTATAAGGCATGCAAAAAATATACTAATATATACACTTAAGATAAAAATATGGATAAATAACATAACTGTGATCCAACCGATGCGACGTTACTATCAATAAGTTGCTTAAGAACATTAAAAAAAGAAAATAAAACATGAGGTTAGAAATTAGAAATCAAAAAATTAATAAAAACTGTTTGAGTAAAATCTAATATCAATGCTAAAAGTGAAATTAGATCGCAGAAAAAAGTATTACATGAAAGTGCCTATTGTGGCTTATACACAGCAAATATACAGCAAATATATCTTCACCAATAAATTGTTTTTGTTAAATTTAGCAGTGTGATCACTGACTCATAGAAATCTTTTCAGAAAAACTCAGTAAAACTCCTGATGCCACCAATTTGAGCCACAAATCAGAACTAGTTTGTTTTAAAGCGTTTAGTTCTTTCATATTATGTCAAATGAACACTGGTGAGATTACCTCTCTTTTCCGTCTTTCTTCTTGTGTGCGATGCAACAGAGACGCTTTTTCTTCCTAAATACCAACAGAGGTTATGTGAGGCTAAACACCAGAAACAGTTGCATGTTTTATTACTGCTCAATTTTCCTGCAATCAGCACTTATACTACCTTTTCCATCTGTGATCTAGCAGCACATACCTTTTTACTCGCTCCTCCCAATGACACTTTGGGCCTTGTTTTGAAATCTCCCTCAAAGCTGAACATTTTCAGATTTTTCCCATTGATTGATTCAGACCTTCTGATGAATTTCTGATAGAGAAAACGAAAACAATTGCAGTTAAAACACTTCAAAACTATACCTGACGAATCTGGGCTTAGCTCCAACTTAAATCACCACCTTGTTATAAACTCATGTGGTCAATTAATAGTTTTAAGTGTTAAAAAACTAGTTAACGGGTTGACTTGAGTTTTTTTTTCTGAAAATGACAATCTTTCGGCAGCAACAATAGTTAGCTAACTTAGCTAGCTTATGACTCAGCAGCTGTCACTGTTTTACTACAGCAAGCATGCCTTAAGACACGATGCAACAACGTAGATAATACCAACAAAGGACAAATAATGGTTGCAAGCGTCACTACAGAATAATGCCCGTATGTTTAGTCTGGTTTTGATGGCGTTAGCACTGAGGCTAACTAGCCAACGGCTAAATATTCAAGCAGGCTAACTTTACGTGGGGATTCTATTTGATATCATTTTAATTTCAAAATACACATAAAAAAAATCAAAATCTATGATGAATAACCTCCGTACCTTTGACTTCTCAAAAATATCGGTTGAAACAAAAAGACTGAGACTGAGTAATCCAATTGTCAAGTATTATTTTCCTCCACTCTGGAAATCATCACAACACAGAAGCGGTTAACTACTTCCGGTTCCTTCAAATCCCAGGCAGATGATTGGATAGAATTCATGCCAATCACGTGGTTGAGCCGTCCCTCTCTTCCAGATTGATTGAGAAGCTTCTATCAATGCATGTCTGTGTGAGAGCATGAATTGCAGGATCTAAAGATCCAAATAGTGGCAGAACAGGTGCAGCTGTAAATATCCCAAACCATAAAGTCATGATTAAAAGGAGAATAACAGATCATCTAGCAGTTTTCACAGTTGAATTAATTGCCATTATGTTAGAGGTTAGGTTGCTTAATGATAATGTTAGGAAAGGATATAGTTATATTATTGCATCCGACAGTCAAGCTGCATTATTAAGTATCAAATCTGGCAAGTCTTGTTGATTAGATTTATTATTAGATATATATCACCTATTAGTTGAGCTTCATAATAAGAAATGTTTTGTTCGATTTGTTCATAATAAGAAATGTTTTGTTCGATTTGTCTGGATTCCTGCTCATGTAGGCATGGAAGGGAATGAAGTAGATATATTAGCTAAACAGGCCTTAAAATCAAATATTATTAACTTAAGTATTCCTTTAAGCAAAAGTGAGGGTAAATCTATAATGCAAAATAAAATCTGTAAGGTTTGACAGGAACAATGGCATAATCATGACACTGGTAGAGATCTTTATAAAATTCAAAAGACTGTGGGGGGTAATAGTTATATTAATGGAAGGTGGAAAGAAGACTTAAACTTGCTCATGCTGGACTTAATAGTTCTTTTTTCAAAATAGGGAAACATGACACAGGGACTTGTAATTACTGTAATCAGATGGAAACAGTGGAACATGTATTATTAGAATGTAATAATTATTCACAGGAACGTCAGCACTTAAAATCAACACTAAAGAGAAAAAAGAAAAATATTAGAGAAAAAATTTGATTTTCAATGATAAACCTTTTAGGAAGTAAATCTTATTCTGCTAGAAATTAGTTAATTATATTTTTTAAAAACACTGGATTATTTAATCGTATTTAAAATAAGAATATAAGTGTGTATGCATGTGCATATACGCACATACTAATTTATATGTGAGTTTGTATATTGATTGATAGATAATACATTCATGCACACCATTGAGGTATGTATTAATAACTTCCCTCTGACATCACTCGTAACCACACTTCAGTCTGGTAGGTGGCCGTAAATGCACCTTAAGTTGGTTGCCACCCGCCAATAAAAAACAAAAGAAGAAATAATTGCTTTTTTGCTTGGATGAATAGTCCTTATCTGAAAAAGGTCTTGCTATTCTTGAGAAACGTTTGAATGAATGAAAATAGGTTTAAGTTGAGTTTTAGTTCAAATTTGGAATACTTTTGTAGGTGATATATTCATGGCTTGTGTTTTACATTATTCAGTAAAGATAGTTATATAAAAGCAGACATATAAAATATTTATGCAATACCTGTAGTGTGATTCTAACATTTTATATATATAACAATTCTCGAGAATTTTCATAACCATATCAAATATTGATTTCAGCTGTATGTTCAAACAGGATGAGGACAGCAATCTAAAATTTCTGTTAATACCCATTTCAAAGGCTTACAGAATTGCCTATTTAAAGCCTGGTCCTATAGAACCTGTTATAAACTGAATGCCTACTTTTTGAAAGCCATATCTGTATCAGAAACCAACCAATAGTCATTAACTTACCAACCTTGCATAAAAGAATATTAAAATTAGTGTTGCACCGGTGCCATTTTTTGGCCCTGATACCGATACCCGATACCTGGCTGTGCAGTATCGGCCGATAGCGATACCATAATAATGTAAATTAATTGCCATCATGGCTTTGTCAAGCTGCTGCCTACCTTTGTGAAGCAGGAAAAAATCTAATACAAAGTGAATCCAGTAGAACTTATCATTGCCTACCAGGAGTGGGTGACAATATTTGAATAAACTTATGGCTCTCAAAATGGTATCTGTGCCGTATTTGTTGGTACTCGCCGATACCGATACCACCATTTTAGGGCAGTATCGGGGCCCCGTCCGATACTGGTATCGGTATCGGTGCAACACTAATTAAAATACCAGAATCACGCAACAAGTGTATAGGAAATTCAACAATCTGTTCATTTACACCAAATTGCTCTGCTGCTCTGTTCATTGTCTCATGACATCTACCTTTCCTCCCTGCTATATATATTTCTTATTTTATTAAGTTTCCCACTGGATTTGTATCTGTTTCCAAATACTTTGGATGGTTCTCAGTCCTGCAGCAAATAAAGTCAATTTCTTCTCTCACCCCTTTCTTTGGGGGAGGGGCTTCTGCTTTTGGTTCTCAACACAAAATCTGAGCAGATATTTTTTCTTGCAGGGTGTCTGACATATTAGTCTTTCAATAGGTGTCTCAAGGTTGGAAAAGCAGAGATGTCTGGATTTGTCGAACACTGCAGTCAAGTGGTTAAACTTTGGTGGTCTAAGTGGTCAACATGCCACTTTTGCTCAACTGCAGCAAGGCAGAAGAGATCACACTCCCTTCAACATACTTATGAAAGATATACACTGAAATGCCTAAGCTTCCTTTAAATAGTACAGTCTATTATGTCCCTTCTTGTAGACAACTTCACAGTTGCCTCCAGTTGAGTCAGTTGTCCAATTGAAAACTGCAGTATTTGTACTCCTCCACCACTTAAACATCTTCTCCCTTGATGGTAATAGCATTTGATCTGTTCAAATAATTTCCTCTGAAATCTACAATCATCTCTCTGGTTTTGTATATACATTCAGGTTAAGATGATTGTTTCCACAGCATGCCACAAAGGTACAGTATCCCCCAGCTTCCTGTACTCAGCTTTTTGTCAATCTCTGATAAACCGAACTGCATAGCCGTGTGAGTATTTCTGCAAATGAAAGGACTCTGTTGTCTACTTATAGTCAGAGGTTAACATAGTAAAATTTAATAGTGAGAGTCTCCTGGGGTGCTCCTGTACTGCTGACTACATGGTTAGTCTGTTTGTCAGGTAGTAGTGTTGCACCGATGCAATGTTTTGGCCCCAATACCTGGCTGTGCAGTATCCGCCGATACCAATATACCGATACCATCTGTTTGGAATTGACGTGTGTGTGTGTATATATAAAGACCTGCACGCTACTTGGATGTAAAATAGTTTCTGATCAAATAAATCAGGCTGAATCATGTTAAATGCACTGAGGAGATAAAAAAAAAAGTGCTGTTTGCCTTGTCTAACTGAGAGTCGGTTTATTGAAGAAGGGGTGTGATGATATCTTTATGTGCAGCTCAAAGGCGGTAAACAAACTGCAGGGGATCCTGGTAGCTCTTTGTTTGCTTTCTCGGGAGGACCAAGAGGTGTATCTCTGGGACAGACATGTCAAAAGTCAGTTCTTGAGGGCTACTATCTTACAGGATTTTAATGTTTCTCAGTTTCATCAAAGCTGTTTCAGTTGATTGCATTGCAGCAAAAACATGTTCATTGGAATTCAATGAAAATCAGCTGTGTTGAAGCAGGGAAGCATCTAAAACCTGCAGAAAAGTGGCCCTTGAGGGCTAGGATCTTTCTGATGTGGGATGTCTTTAATCATTAAGGCATGTTAGCTGTGTTCTTTCACATCACTAGAACTATCTCCCAGGTCAGGCTAATGTTGAAGAGGAATTGTGGAATCCCACAAAAATGACCTATAAAGGCCTTTGGGACTCTTTGGACAAAGCCATCTTGATCTTGATTCTGTCTCTCTACACTTGACTTCTAGAGACAGACAGCAGGGTCAAAGAGAGCAGTGCCATTATCTAATGTGATTGGGAACAAGCACATAGAAGCAAAAGAGTCCATGGCAGAGGTGAGATGAAAAAATGGAAGTGTGAAAGAGAAACTTTTGGTCAAAAGAGGACCGGATGTCTGTTTGACTGTGGGCAGGAGAGAAGGATGCTGAACCTGTTCCTGAACTTATTGAGGAACATGTCCAGGTTTTTGGCTCTGTCTAGACTTGTATATCATAAATGATAAACCAATTACTAATATGGTAATTTTTTATTTATTTCACAGTTAAAAGTGCAAGTAACAGAATTGCTTTTCATAAGAAAACCCCGAAAGGACTATTGTTGCCAAGGCAACAAGTTGCCAGCAGCTTGGTTGGCCTTTTTGCTCATTTGTCTTTTTTCTCACCATAGGTCAGAAGTAACATGGTGCAGTAGGTTTAGAAAGCAAAGTTATCAGGTCACTCTCATTGTGCTGCTGCTTGGAAATAGATTTATTTGCCCTCAAGCCTTTATACTAATCTTGGGCAAGGCTATTGAAGATGAGACAGCTCTTGATGTGCTTCAAATGGTTTTTATTTTCCACTTGCACTTGTTATATATTTCATGAAGAAAATAATAAATAATTGGAATGGCAATATAAATAAGTAATAGTTATAAAATATACAAAATAACTTTCATAATCATAATGTCTATTGATATAATAATGATATAATAGTCATGAAATATATCATAATATATAAAAAGTTAATAATATATTAACAATGCAACTTGCTGGGTTTAAACAACCCAACAGTGTAGCCAATTTAAGCCCTTGATTGAGTTTCATAAATTAATCCAATGGGGATTTACGAACAACCCAATTATTGTATTGAGTGAACCAACCAATATTGTTGGGTTAAACTAACTGTTCTGTTCTATTTAACCTGCGCTGTGGTGGGAAACCAACATGTTTTTACCCCAACATTTTTTAGAATATGGGATCTTCTTCATTCCTCATCACTCTTATAATGTTCTGCTGGAACCTACTCTTCAGCTTCTTTCTGTAAGCGCCCTTGCTTTCTCTAGCTTGACCTTAGGTTGCTTTTGTATACTCACCAATTATTACCTGTCTCCCTTTCTAAAGCTGTTGTTTTTTTCAGTTCACTGAGGATTCAGGATTTATCATTTATCAACACTTTGTCCTTTTCTGTCAATTACTTCAAGACATTTGAGACTAGACCAACCACTTCTTCATATATTAAACTTACATCTGTCTGCCATTGCCCATACCATTT